TGATTCTATGATTCTGTGATTCTATTTTATGCTAACATCTCCATATCAAGGGTATGGCTGTGAAATATCCTGGAGAGCAGGACTCTCCTATCCCCAGTGTTAACAGGGAGGAAGTCTCTGCTGGTGTCTACACTGCTGAAGACAGGACAGCTCTAGGATCCATCCTGCCCCACAGCCAAATGAGAGCAGAGCCAACGCACCGTTCTCAGCACTGCGAAGCTTCTCCTCCAAGGCCACGCCACGGTGCTCCAGCTGGTCGAGCTGATGTTCAATGGCATCCATCTCCCCATAGATGTCTTCCTCAGGGATGTACTGATCTGTTTGCACCTGCCAAGCCAACAGCAAAGACCTCCTGTCACCATCAATCTCCAGTTTCTGGGGGCAACCCTAAGGTTGGTCTACACTGAGCAGGGAACAAAGGACTCCCCACCTAAGAAGTGATTGCAATCCCCACCTCACCCTGAAATACAGGGAGACCAGGATGCTGCTGTCCATCGAGCCTAGTCTGGATATCACCCTCCCCACTGCAGTGCCAAGCTGTGGTCCCTACCTGCTTGTGCATCAGTGGGGTGCCCAGACATCTGCTCCCCAATGCTGGCTACATGCCAAGGGGGCAACCCAGGGCTTAGCCCCCAGAGCTGCAGCCCTGGGGGACGGTGCAGAGCTAGTTTTTGCCTCCCTGCTCCCCAGTGCCATTTTTACCTTGCGTTTGATCAGTGGGAAACCGTGACCCGGGGCAGGAGGCCGCACTGGCTTGGAGCCCTTGGGGGGTTTCTTTGCAGAGGGAGAGGCGGCAGGCGACGGCTTCCGGTTGAAGGGGTTCTCTTTGCAGGAAGACTGGAGCAGGGCACAAAGGGAGATACGTGAGGCTCCAGGAAAGCAAAAGGATTCCATACCCCAAGGCTACAACTGGGCACGCTGCTTATGGGAGGTGCACAGCACTGACCTCCACCAGCACCCTAGCCATGGGGCTGTGAGCTGCTTTCTCCCGGTCTGTTCACTAGACAAGCATAAAGCCAGCAGGTCACAGCTGTCAGAGGGATGCACCTTCCCAAGGAAGTTCCTCCTTAAAACAGGCATGGCCTTCCATCATCATCATGCACCCCGAGGCAAGGATTTACAGCCCTGACCACTGAAGCTTATCCCATGTCACCACAGATGCTCGTCCTTGTGTCTGCTATTGCTCCCTCTCCTTCCTAGCTGTGTTAACCCTTCTGGCCTCAGTAACGTTATGTGACAA